TATTTCTGAATGGTGCCCAAAGATTCTGCCGTTTTGCAATCATTTTTTGTTGTTTCTACATAAAATATTCCTATATGTAGGTTGGAGATTGTGGAAAATACAAAAAAAAAAAAAACACTAACCCAGCCGCCTACAGATAAATACTGTTTCCATTTGGTTCCGTTTTTCTGTGTGCACATGTGCCTCTGTATTTACGTATTTTTTTCTTGAGTGTGTGAGAGGTCATACTATTTTAGTGTTGCTTTTTCATTTAATAAAACTGTGTCTAATATGTAATACTTTCAACAATAAAGAATTATAAAAAATAAAACTGTCCATTGAAATATGATTTTTATCACCTGAATAGTATTACATTATTTCAATATTGACAAATATTTGTAAACTTGGCTGCTTGATTCTAACTCATACCTTCTTGAAAATTTACAAATGCGTCTTCAAACAATCTACAGTCAAAAAGTGAAGTCCCGATTTCTTCATAGTCTGGAGGGAGAAAAACATTTTTTTAATTTAAATATTTTATGTGGGCAGAAACACCTCACAAAATAACCCTCCAAAATGAAAAGTAAACAGAGCAGTTATCTACTGGGAACTTGTTAGAAATGCAAATTCTTGGCACCTCTACTGAACAGAACCTCAGGGGGGAGGCCCAGCTATCTGTGACTTAAGCCTTCCAGGTCAGCCGTTGCCAACCTTTCAGACCTCAGGGACACCGGTTGGTGACCGCTGCTCCAGGTGATTCTGAGGGGCATGCTCAAGTTTGAGAAGTGCTTGGTCTAGAGACAAAAGAATGCATTGAATGAGCTTTAAGATATGTTTGCTCTTAATTTCATTTTTTGGTTTTGTCCTATAGAAAATAATCCCTTTCAAATAACCATTTATTTTATACTATTGCTTAAAATATAGACTATCAAGCTTTTTCTTACAAAATAGCATTATTTATAATAAAGGTTTTACGCTCATAGGAGAAAGGATAAGAAGGCTAAGTGGCTATACATCTGCACATATGAATGGCACCTCAGCTTTCCAAAGAGTTCCTAATGAAAGGTCACATTTAACTAAGTCAAATGTCAGTCAGAACAGTAAAATTACTTCCATACTTTAAACTTGAACATACCAAAAAGATACTTGGTTTACTAAGGAACAGAATTTGAGTCAAATCAAAACTAACATAATGCCATTCTCAGATCTTAGCAACAAGTGTGCTCCATCTGGGGGGGTGGATGTGGGACTGAGTTTGGTTCTGAAGTGCCCATCTCTTGCTGGTTACTCTCCGCTATGCACACCTTTGGAAAATACTTGAAAACCTTCATGGCATCAGGATACTTTTTACAAAATTAATGAGTTTGTGAATTGCCCACATCCTGTAGATTTGTAAAAGACAGGAGATCTGGAACAATGGATTTTATTAAAGAATGAAATAAAAAGGAAAATAATACTTCAGATAGAAAATGTGTACAGGTTTTTGGTTTTGTTTTGTTTTATATGTAGGTCTGTGAGAAGTCTCTGTATAGGAATTTTGCAATTTTAGTACCTGATTCTGAAATATTCTCATCCATGAGTCTTTCCTGAATCAAATGAAGTTTTTGTGATATTTCTTCAAATAAATCATTAAGAAGTCCTGCTTCCTTACATTTCTTGAGAAAAGCAACTTTCACAATTGCATCTAAGAATAAGAAAAACATTTTAGAAGGAAACAGTGTTAGGGAAGCTGTTATAAATCACTTTATAGTCTTCTTAAGACGTTGCCTAGTGGTAGATGAGCATAATTAGTTAACACATACAGTACCTTTAGGTTGTCTATTAATTGTAATTTCATCAAACCTCATTTTTTCTAGCTGAAACAATGAATGAAATGTTATGAAAATGTGAAAAACTTTGTTTAGAATAATTATATGAAGCAAGACAATGTTCTCAAATTTAGCTTCAACTCTTTTGAGATGACAGCCTTTGTTATTTTTCTGTCATAGTGACTGTTGTTATAGAACATCTATCTGCTTAAGAACAGAAAGCTGCCAGTACTGGCTCCCGGGGAGCGGGGAATCTCAGTGTGAGGGTGGCACATTACTGTATTCTAAGCTCACACTATCTTGCCTTCTCTATCAAAGAGAATATCCTCTCAATACTGAAAAGTGATGGACTGTCCCAACCTAAGTTATTTTGATCTGCTGGGGTTATGATAAGGATTGTTAAGACAAAAAATTTTATTCTTATAAATTAGTTATTACAGGTCTAGAAGAATAAAGTGGGATACCAACTTTGAAACACATGGCTCATCTTTTTTGGTAAGTATTATAAGTCATATTTGTTACAGAAAAAAACTTATAGCAAACCTGTGTGTCTGCTATCCTCTTCTTCCATTTGTTTTTCGGACCTGTTTACTGTTGTTAGTTGAGGTACCTAGAAGGAGAGAAAAATCAAGATTACTTTATACTGATTTTACTGTTGGCATTGAATTGAAACAGAAATTTTAGGGCTAAAATAAGACAGGTTTAGGAAATTATAGAATTTTTGGAAATTAAGGGGACCATTGAGAAAGCACAGAGTTGCAGAGCAGCAGAAGGTATATTTCCATAGAATAGGGAAGCTGAAAAGCTGCAACAGGTACATTCCATAGAATGAGGGTGGGACCAGCAAAAGGTCTACATTTTCAAAATAAAGAGAAGAAAGCCCTTCATTCAGGGGAGAAGAAAACCCAAAGGGAATAGGAAACCAATAAGGAAGGAGGGGGCAGGGGAGAACCTCACATGCCCCATGTGAGGTTGACCTTTGAGCCTAGGAGTTATTATAGTCACCAGTCTTAAGGAAATAGTGACCAATCAGAGCAGATATCAAGGCACCAGGATCTGCAGCCTTTATAAGCCATAGGGAAAGGAACTCAGTGGAACCCTTCCTTCCTCCCGTGGGAATCCGTTCTGTGGGACTCTCCCCCTTCCCTACGTGGAAGTCTGTACTTGCTCTTTAATAAATTTCCACCTTTGCTATACCACCTTCTGTCCGTGGATTCATTCTTCGATTCTGGCGGACAAAGAATCCGGGTTCCAGTCCAAAAATTCCGTTTCAGAATGTTGTATAAAATGCAAACCAATCTTTTTTGTATAATTCAGTGATAATGCCTATGGTGAAAATCATGCCCCATATTCATCTGTTGATGTAAATATCAAATGTATTTTTGTTTTGTATGACAAAACATCAAGAGTTGTGACAAGTAACTCTTATATAATAAAACAGGAGAAAGGTGAAGGTTGCTTATATGACCTGGTGCATAAAAAACTGTTTGAAATCCCCAAAACATTTTCATATGCTTTACACACAACAGTAATCCAGAAAATTATAAGTTACAAATTAGGTCACGTATGGAGCATGCAGCTGGGAAATACTTGGCTAGGTAAGGATGCTCGACCTTACCTCTAATCATTTTAACATCATAAGCACTATATGGGTTCAGATTCTTCTTACTAATTTGGTACCAGGGGATGTGTTATAGGAGCTATAGGACTGTCACATCTAACTTCTCTTTAATATTCATTTCATTAAGGTTCTATCATTTCACCTGAAATCCAGAATGGTTAAAATGAGGACTTTGTAAGAAGAAACTTAAAGCTATAATAAAATTAAGTCAAAGTACCTGTACAGAAATGCTTGTTGAGTGATCTGCCTTCTTTCTTTTTCTTTGTACTCCTGAAAAATGAGCTGAAAACGTAAATCATGTAGAAATCAGAATCCATAAAGGAAAAGACTGATGCTTGATTACATAAATTGTAAAACTCTTACATGCCAAAAGTTATTACAAAGTCAAAAGATATGCCAAACTTGGACTAAATGTTTGCAACATCTATGATAAAAGGCCAATTTAAAAAATATAAAAAGATCTCATAAATCAATACAAAAAAAGACAGTGGAGTAGAAAAATGGGCAAATTGGGAGCCCTCTGGGGAGAGGGTTCATTGAATAGGAAAACAGACTGGGTGACAGGAAAATAAATATAATTGATCAAAAGATAGAGGAATACACTCAATTTCACTCAAGTAAAGATGCAAAGTAAAAACAGATGGACAAAGATGAAGGTGCTCAGTATCTAATGTTTGCAAGGATTTGGGTAATTATGTACTGCTGGAGCAGCCTCTTTGGAAGATAATTAACCAATAGTTAACTCAGTTTCATTTTTTAGACTCTTTGATCCAGCAATCGACTGAAAGGAAGTTTTCCTAATAGGATAGTTCATAAAGGCACAAAGTTGAATGGAGAAAAATGCTAACTACAGTATTAAATGTGGTAGAAAAACTGGAAGTAACCTAAATGCCCATCATACAGAGACTAGTCCAGTTGTGGTTCAGTTATGTGACTAAATAATGTACACAATGGGACATTATGCAGTCTTTTAAAAGTGAGGTAGATCCACTTGTGTTGATATGGAAGGATCTCTAGAATATATTAAGTGAAAAAGCAAAGTACAGTAGTAGGTAAGTTTGTATACACAGACAATTTTGGAAAGAATTCAAAAGACAATCTTCTGGGGAGAAGATTCACTACCAGTGTTATAATCTGCTTTTTAAAACTAATACATTATTGTTACCTTTCCTGTCAATAAACAGTAATTGACAACAGGGTTTTTCATAGTATTTCTTAAGTTAAAAGAGTAATGGTTTCAACCAAAAAAAAAAAGTAAAGAAAAGGATATGTATTGAAATGGCATTTAGTTCTGAACAGCTTATTTTATTAACACCCAGTAATTCCTAGGAAGTGTACTTTATATGTCCCTAGTCCACCCTCATTGGGACCTAAACTGTGGCCAAAGCTTGCTACATATGAGGTGTACTGAATTCCTGCTAGCAACACATATTTCAAAATAATGTAAATTTACGATTTCTTATTCTTCCCCAAAACATCAACCCATTATTTTTTGAAAAGGTACCGAAACAGGAATTTTTAGGGGTGAAAAAACAGGTTTTAGGAAATTTTAGAAATTAAGGAAATTAAGGGGACCATGGAGGAAGCACAGGGCTGCAGAGCAGCAGAAGGTATAGTTCCATAGAATGAGGGAGCTGAAAAGCTGCAACAGGTACATTTCCATAGAATGACCCTTCATCCAGAAGGAGAAGAAAGCCCAAAGGGAATAGGAAAACAATAACAAAGAGGGGGGAGAACCTCACATGTTTCATGTGAGGTTCTACCTTTGAGCCTAGGAGTTACTATAGTAACCAGTCCAAAGGAATAGTGACCAGAGGGGATATCAAGGCACAGGCTCTGTAGCCTTTATAAGCCACAGGGAAAGGGAACTCAGTGGGACCCTTTTCCCCACTCCCGACGTGGGGTTTTGTACTTGTTCTTTAATAAATTTCCACCTTTGCTATACCACCTTCTGTCCGTGGATTCATTCTTCTACTCCGGCGGACAAAGAATCTGGGACATCCTGCCCAGGGAACAAACACCGTATGTTCCAGCCCAAAAATTTTGCTTCAGTAATGACTCAAAAATGAGGGTAATGATATTGTTTGGATAAAATGAAGTTGGTATGACACAGAATTGAGCCTTTTCCAAATAGGTCCTAACTCCAGTCCACAAGGAGCATTCCAGATTCTGTGCTAGAAAGATACTGCTTTTTCTGACAGTACGTGGAAACCATTCATGAATGAATGTCCATCTCATACTTCCATTCAGACAGGGTCCAATTTTAGAACTTAATTGCTAACCATTAATTAGAACTGAAATGCTAACCATGCATTCTTAGGACACTTTCATTTAGGGGCCATGCAGCACTTTATCAATTTTATCTACTAAAAATTCTGATATTCTTTTAGAAGAGAAGCAGTCACAAAAAGGCAGAGCTTTTTACCTTGTTGTGAGACAGTCTTCTGAATGCAGTGAGGATGGAAGACACGAGACAAAGGCTTTACAGAGAGGAGGCCTAGTTCACAAAGAAAACTTAGTACATTATGTGACACACTGTACAAAGGAAATGACAATTTTATATGTAAAATGTTTAATTCAGAAATTTTTATTTTAATTCAGTGAGGCTAGTAAATCAGGTTACTTCATGTCTTACCTAAATGATTACTTTTCTTTAAACCCACAATACTAAATTTTAGAGACTTACCAGATTGAGTTTCTCTCGATGGATCATGTTCTTGGCAAAACACTCTGAAAATGGAATTTCAAAGAATTGTTAAATATTTTTACATATTTTCAAATATGCCTATTTTCGTGATTTAAAAAGGAATTAAACTATCTTTATGATAGTATTGCCCTAAATATTTGTTAAAGAAAAATGCTGTTTGAGACTTCCAGTCAAGAGGAAATATAGGTAAACGCTGTGCTGGCCTCCTCCCATGGCCACATCAAATTTACAACTAAATTATAGGACAAACCCTCCTGAGAATCACCTGAAAGTCTTAGCTGAACAAAACTCTTATAACTAAGGATAGAAAGAAAACCCATGTCAAGACTGGTAGGAGAGGCAGAGATATGAAATGCACTATCCCAACACCCATGTGTGGCTATTCAGAACTGGGAGGGATAGCTTGGCTGTGGAGGCCCCTCACTCCTTAGCCCCACACCAGACTCTCCAGCCCAGAAGACCAGTGCCAGGAAGAGGAGACCCCACCACGTGTGGCTGTGAAATCAGCAGGGACCCAGTCTGGGTGTGAAGGAGGGCTGTTATAAGACCCAGACAACCTCTTAAAAGACTTGAGTACAGACTCACTCACCCTAAATTTTAGAGAAGGGAAAGAAGCTTAAAAAGTGCCAGGGACATATGTGGAGGAACTAGTCTGGCTTCAAGTAAGACCTGGAGGAGTAGCTCTCTCAGGACAAAAGTGCCATCAGGCACCATTGGTCTGTTGTTGACTCCTCCCCACATACAACCTGCAGGTGCTGGTGGACACAAAAATCTGAGTCAACCTGGCTAACAGAGTTCACCTTGGCCTGGTGATTCCCCGACACCCCGCCCCACCTAATTCCCACACCCACCCAAACACCTTTCAGAGGCTTATCCACACAAGCTCTGTGGAATTTCCTAAAATTTCTAAAAGATCCACAAACCCCAAATGAACACTGTCTGGCCTCAGCTTTCCATGTACCTCTTGCTACCAGTCCCAAGCCTGGAGCTAGTAGAAGCCAGCCTCATTCCACAGCATAGCCACTATCACGTGCCTCCACTCCCAGCACAGGCAGCTACCAAACACCGACCACTCTGCAGCTCCTACCAGGTGGCCTCAGGCCAAAGAGCAGCTGACCTTGCCCTGCACAGGAGCCCCTCCTAAGAGGCCCTGGAACCAACACACCTGGGGGCTGGCTTCAGACCACACCAGAGCACCACCAATTAGTGCCACAAATGACACACCCAAATAGTGGTCTCAGTAGGCACCAGAGCCCTGCTAAAGCAAATCCCACTTTGTGGGGTCAGCCCCTGCACAACAGCTTTGCTGTAGTCATTGCCTCACAATCTGTCAGCCTGAGGATCAATCCCACCCACTGATGTGCCAACAGCAATCAAGGTTCAACTCAATGGAAGGGACATAAAACCCACACAAAGGACACCACTGGAATACCCAATTCAAGTGAACAGGGAGACTACGCCACGGGGCCCCACAGGACACCTTCTACATAAGGCCACTCTCCCAAGACTGGGAGATACAGCAGTTCTACCTAATACATAGAAGCAAATACAAGGAGGCAGCCAAAATGAGAAGACAAAGAAACAGGTCCTAAATGAAAGAACAGAACAACATTCCAGAAAAAGAATTAAACAAAATGGAAGCAAGCAATCTACCAGATGCAGCATTCAAAGTAATGGTTATAAGGATGCTCAATGAACTTAGGGGAAGAGTGGATGGTATCAGTGAGACATTCAATAAAGAGATAGGAAGCTTAAAAAAAAAAGAGATAGAAAAAATGAAGAACCAGTCAGACATGAAGAATACAAGAACTGAAATGAAGACTACATTAGATGGAATCAGCAGATTAGATAAAGGAGAGAAACAAAACAGTGATATGGAAGATAAGGTAGCAGAACAGCAAAAAGAAAAAATAATTTTAAAAAAATGAAAATAGTTTAAGGGACTTCCAGGGCAATATAAAATGTAATGACATTCACATCACAGCAGTACCAGAAAGAGAAGAGAGAGAATAATGGATTGAGAACTTATTTGAAGAAATAAGAAAACTTCCCTAATCTGGCAAAGAAAATAGACATACAACTCTAGAAAGTGCAGAGTCCCAAAAAAGATGAACCCAAAGAGGCCCACACCAAGATGCATAATTAAAATACCAAAGGTTAAAAGGGGACATCTACGATACGTTCAATAATAAAAATAAATAAAATAAAACAAGAGGCCCGGTGCATGAAATTTGTGCATGGATAGGGTCCCTAGGCCTGGCCAGCAATCAGGGCCTTCCTTAGTTCCACGCCGCCCCCTGGTGGTCAGTGCACATCATAGCCAGCAGTTGAACTCCCAGTCAGCCGAACTCCCAAGGGGACAATTTGCATATTAGTCTTTTATTATATAGGATGCGAAAGGTTAAAGACAAAGAGAGAATCTTAAAAGCATCAAAACAAACTGTTAGAAAACTAAGGGAGCTCCCATAAGACTGTTAGCTGATTTCTCAATAGAAACTTTGCAGGCCTGAAGGGTTAGCACAAAATATTTAAAGTGATAAAAAGCAAGGACCTACAGCCAAGGTTACTCCACCCAGAAAGACTATCATTTAGAATATTAGGAGCGATAGCTTTCCAGCCAAGAAAAAGCTGAAGGAGTTCATCACCACCAAACCAGTATTACAAGAAAGGTTAAAGAGAGAGAGAGAGAGAGAGAGAGAGTTGGGGGAGGAGGAAAAAAGGAGAAGCAGCAAAAAATAAGAGTAAGAAAATATTGCAAAGAAAAATTATTACTGATAAGGTAAACAATAAAATCACTGGATCAATCAACTATAAAGTTAATACAAAGTTTAAAGGCAGAAGTAAGTACAACAGTTAAATCAAGGGATACACACACACACACACACACACACACACAAGAAGTAAAAAAAAATGATGTAAAAATAAATGTGGAGGTGGAGAGTAAAACTGGTTGTGACTTTAGAATGTGTTCAAATTTAAGCAACCACCAACCTAAGACAGACTGCTGTAAACATAGATGGGATATATGATGCACAAACCAAAAGACTGCAAAAGATATACAAGAAATAAAGAGAAAGGAATCAAACACAACACTATAGAAAGTCATCAACATACAAGAGAGTAAGAGAATAACAAAGGAACAGAGAAGAATTACAGAACCAATCAGAAAACAATAATAAAATGGAAATATCTATATGCCTTGCAATAATTTAAGTATAAACAGATTAAATAATCTATCAAAAGACAATGGATAGTTTCCTCAAAAAAATTAAATATGGAACTCCCATTTGACACAGTGGTTCCACTTCTAGGAATATATCCTAAGAAACCAAAGCCAATCAGAAAGAATGTATGCATCGCTATGTTCATAGCAGTGCAATTCATAATAGCTAAGATCTGGAAACAGCCCAAGTGCCTGTTTCATCAGTAGATGAGTGGATAAAAAAGAGTTGTGGTACATTTACACCATGGAATACTATGCAGCAGTAAAAACAGAAGGATATCTTACCCTTTGAGACAGCATGCAAGGATCTGGAGAGTATTATGCTAGATGAAATAAGCCAATCAGAGAAAGACAAGTATCACACGATCTCACTCATATGTTGAATCTAATGAACAAAATAAACTGAAGAACAAAACAGACCAGAGACAGAAATATGGGACACACTGTCCAACCTCAGAGGGAAGAGATTAACCAAAGAACTTATATGCATATATGCATAACCCATGGACATTGACAATAGTGTGGTGAAGGCCTGGGGCAGGGGGCAGATGTCTGCTAGAAGGGGTTAATGAGGGGAAAATGGGGACATCTATGATACTTTCAACAATAAAGATCAATTTTAAAAAAGGCAATGGATAAAGAAATTGTGGTACATACATAATGAAATATTACTCAGCCATAAAAATAATGAAATCTTACCATTTGCAACAACATGGATGGACCCAGAGGGTATTATGCTAAGTGAAATAAGTCAGACAGAGAAACACAAATATAGATTTCACTTATATGTGGACTCTAAAGAACAAAATAAATGAACAAACAAAATCGAAAAAGACTCACAGATACAGGGAACAAACTGATGGTTGCCAGATGAAGGGATGAAGAAGCAGAAAACAGGTACAGAAGAGTCACAGGGACATCAGGCACAGCACAGGGAAATAGTCAATAATAGTGTAATAACTGTAAGGGTGCCAGGAGGGTGAAAACTTACTGAAGGTCTCACTTCATAAATTATATAAATGTCCAATCACTACGTGGTACACCTGAAACTAATAAAATATTGAACGTCTCTAATTGAAAAAACTTTAAAGTTAAGCCAAAAAAAAAAAAATCTGTTCGAACCTGTGTAAGTTACTGACCCACATCAAGCACAGATGGAGCCTCTGCCAGATGTTCTCCACGTTCTTGGGCCTCAGAAAGGTCGGTATGCTCTCTTGAAGGGTTTAGCCCTGACTAGATATTCTGAACATACTAGTTTATAGATAGTAATCAGTAGGTTTTTACTGAATAAAGACACCTAAGGACCCAACATCTAAGATGCACAAAATTTTATCTGACTATACAAAGTTCTGATTTTCAACAATAAATATTTAGCACAAAACTGCATGTATTAATTTGGGAAGCACAGTTTTCTAACTCCACAGGCATCTCACCTAAATTTTAGATTTGAACTGCATGACTCTAGAATTGATCAGTGCCCCAGAAGAGAAGTAGCAAAGTTATGAAAAAGAAATGGTGAATTTTAAGGATCTGCTCAAGCCGCATTTTCTTTCCATCCTTTCTTCCTCCTCAGCCCCTACCTACATCTCCTTCCTTCCCTTATGGTGCTGAGCCCTAAGATGCAGGGTCCCCTCACCTACGGGAATGAATGAATGCTTGCTGTCTCACACCAGTTCCCACCTCCTCCATTTAGTTTTCTCAGCCACCCCACCTCTTCTCCCAATCAAAATTAATCTCACCCTTTGGATTCTGGTATCTCTGAGCACTTTCATTTGCCAGGTACTTAATTTTTTTTTAATATGAAAATTTTCAAACATATATAAATGTGGAGGAGATATGATGAACCCTCATGCCCCCAACCATCATTCAGTTTCACTCAACATCATTAATCGTCAGGAAATGCAAATCAAAATCACAATAAGATATCACCTCACACCTGTTAGGATGGCTATTATCAGAAAGACTAGAAATAAGAAGTGTTGGTCAGGATGTGGAGAAACCTTGTGCACTATTGGTGGAAATGTAAATTGATGCAGCCATTATAGAAAACAGCATGGAAATTCCTCAAAAAATTAAAATTAGAACTACCATACAATCCATTTCTGGGTATTTATCTGAAGAAAACAAAAACACTAATTTGCAAAACTATATGCACCCCTATGTTCATTAAAGCTTTATTTACAATAGCCAAGATATGAAAACAACCTAAGTAGCCTGAATCAATTTAGTTAACAGTTGGCTTACTGTTTTGTTTTTACTAAATTATATAATTATTTAACTGAACTGAAACTTTTCATCGAAAGGGAGCTCAAGTTTCACCCTGGATAAAATAAATATAATTCTATTGGACTTGAAATATGCCTTATTAGGCCCTGGCCAGTGTGGCTCAGCTGATTGGAGCATTGTCTCATACACCAAAAGGTCATGGGTTCAATTCCCGGTCAGGGCACATACCTGGGTTTCATGTTTGGTCCCAGGTTGGGGTATGTATGAGAAGCAGCCAATCGATGTTTCTCTCTCACATTTATATTTTGTTCTCTCTCTCTCTCTCTCTCTATCTCTCTCTTTCTCTCTCTCTCTCTCTCTTTCTTTTCCTTTCTCTCTAAAATTGATGAGCATGTCCATTGATGAGGATTAAGAAAAAAAAAGAAATATGCCTTATTGGGTTAAAATTAACATTTAAAGAATTATTAAGGACATGACGCAAGATTTAAAAGTCAAAAGCAATACAAACAAGGTAAGTTTCTTTAATAACTGAAAGACTGATTACTGTATTTGTTGCATAGTTTATAATTTTTAGAAGTTATTTATAGGTATGATAGTGGTGACCATGGTGGGAAAAGGTATTTATTGAGCAGACAAGATGGATAAACAATAGACCTGTGGCTAACAAGTAAGGCTCCTTTCCTGTTTATAGGAAAGAGCAAATGTAAACTGGTTCCCAGTCTCACAGCTACCCATTATGTAGATCACTAGGTCACTCATGCCACTCTGACCACCAATGCTTTCTTTCCACCAGAAAAGAAGGAATGTAGGAAGATTACAAACAAAACCAAAAGCAACCCTACTTATTTTCTTCCCATGACATATGGAGAACGTGTTGTGAAGTCAGATTCCCAACCAGGGACCCCAAACTAAGTTCTTACTTAGAAATAATTAGCATAAAATTAGTTTTAAAAATCTCTTTGCACCCTAACCAGTGTGGCTCAGTTGGTTCGAGTGTTGTCTTGTACAGTGTAAGGTTGAAGGTTAGATTCCCCAATCAGGACACATACTTAGATTGCCGGTTCAATCCCCAGTTTCTCAAATCAATGTTTCTTTTTCTCTCTTACCCCCTCCCCTGCTTTCTCTAAAAAAATAAACATCTCCTCGGGTGAGAATTAAAAATATATGTATCTTTGCCTTAATCTTAAACCATTCCTTATTTTATTCCAGTCCCCCCAAATGTGGCTCTAAAACTGTTTTATTAAATACTTATAAATTCCTCCAGATCCAGTGTGTAGAACAGCACGGTCATTCTTGGCACAGAAAAAGTGGTAATTCTTGGGACAGGATTTTTTATCACATCCCACGGTGGCTCCTTTTTCATCACAAAATGTGCATTTCTACAGAAGAATAGATATTACTGAGTAAGCACCTGTTCTCATAATCTTTCTTAAAATTTAAAATTAAACGTGCTATTAAATATTATTTTTAAGTCAGTAACCCTAATGTCCTGAGGTACAACATTACTTACATTTGGCTGGTTAGCTAACTAGAACACTTGGCACAGACTGTTTTGAAATGATCTGATTAAAAGCAGAAAACCGCTCTGGCTGGTTTGGCTTAGTGGATAGAGCATTGGCCTGCGGACTGAAGGGTCCCGGATTCGATTCCAGTCAAGGGCACATGCCTGGGTTATGGACTCGATCCCCAGTGGGGGGCGTGCAAGAGGCAGCTGATCAATGATCATCTCTTATCATGGATGTTTCTCTCTCTCCCTCTCTGAAATCAATAAAAAAAGCAGAAAACCTGTTTTGTTTCAAAAAACTAATCTCAAAAAGCAGGGTTGGAAAATTGTCCAGCTCTAAGCACTGGGTCCTGTTACAGACACTGAGTCTGTGGCTGGAGCAGCTAGCTCCTGGTTGTGCCACTAAGAGCTGTGTGGTCTCCAGCCAGTCACTTCCTCTCTCTTAGACCCACATTTCTCCCTGTATATAACAAGGCCTGTTTTACAGATTGTGTGATAGGTAAAGGCCTCTAAGGAGATGATATATAAGCTTAGATGTGAATAATAAGAGCTCCTAGCATGCAAACAACAACACAATCAGGGGGAAGGACATTCTAAGCTGAAGGCCTTATGTTCTGGCAGCAAGAATGAATTTCGACAACGGCAAGCTTTCTGGAAGGATGGGGCAGAGCTGCGAGAGGTGGGGGTGGGTTACGGGAGGGGGCGCTGGTGTAGTTGGAGCAGAGAGGAGGCAAGGAAGAGTCTGGGATAAGACCCAAGGTATAGTCAGGGCTGTGTCATGTAGGGCTTATAAGCCAGAGTAAAGAGTTGGGATTTTATCCTCATGCAAGGGGAGCATAAACTGAGCAATATTTTTAAGACACTATGCTGGCTGCTGTGTGGAGAATGGGCTGGGGTAAGGATGGGCAGGAGAGAAAGCACGGCAAGTATCGGTAGTGCTCAGCAACCATCCAAAAGAGGCAGACCAGCGACTTCACTACAGTGGGTCACAGACACAGAGAGAAGTGGAGGACACAAGTCTGTCTGTAGGATGGTACTGACGGGCTTGATGCTCGGTTGGGAGGTTAATGAGGAGATGATGGCTAAAGGACGTGCTGTTTATTGAGGTGAGGAGTGAACAGGTTTGGATGGAGTGTGTGTGTGTGTGTGTGTGTGTGTGTGTGTGTGTGTAGCAGGTGTGGTGAACGTCTGGCCCCAGGGCCGTATAAGGCCCATGAAATCATTTGGTCTGGCCCTGCCAAGACATTAGGGATGAGTTAATTAAATGTTTGACCAAATGTAGCAGGCTAATTTTTAAGTTGATAGCTTTTTATAGTCCACAAATGATGTTATAAATATCCAAATGGCTCTTTGCAGAAAAAAGGTTCCCCATCCTGGTGTAGAGGATGGATTTTTGGCCAGTTTAACATGAGATGCTGTTAGATATCCATGTAGATATGCCAGACTGGTTGTCAGGGTTAGAGATACAGAGTCACTGGCATAAGTATGGTAAAGCCATGAGAACTGCATGATGTCACGTAGGCAGGCTGTTCCCACATGATGGAGGAAGGAGCCCAGGGTAGAGCACTGGGCACCCTGAACTTTAAGGGTTGAGCAGAGGAGGAAAACAGCTCAAGGCGCCCGGGAGCAGCAGCCAGCTTACAGATAAGAGCTATACTAGCAGAGTGTATCTAGGAGGTCAAAGAATAAAGTGCTTCAAAATGCAGGGCACAGACAACTGCGAGATGAATACTGCTGAAAGGTCAACTAAGGACAGAGAAGGAACAGTGCCACTGACAAGTGTCTTGTGTAAAAGGGAGGGTTGTTTTTTAAGATGACGTGATCAGTTGCTCATGTTCACATGCTGAGGGGAATAATGTAATAGAAAGGGGATACTGATGTAAAGAGGGTAGAGGTAAATGCAAGGGTCTAGTCCTTAAGAAGGAAGGGTACTGGCTCCAAAGTCCAAGAGGACGGTTAGCTTTCACAGGAGGAAGGTCCAGGTGGGACAGAGGTGGGTGGGTGGTGGTTTGGATACTAGGAGTTCCGTCCAATGGTTGCCATTTTCTCAGTAAAAGTCAGGCAAAGAAATGTACAGCACCAAGGATTAACCCTAATGTACACTATGCACTTTGGGTGTTTATAATCTGTCAATGTAGGTTCATTACTTTGTAAGAAATGTACTTTCTGGGGGGGGGGGATGTTGATGGTGGGGAGTGGCTATGCATGTGTGGGTGCCGGGGGTTATATAAGAAATCTCTGTGCCTTCCCCTCAAATTTTCTGTGACCCTAGAATTGTTCTAAAAAATAAAGTCTATTTAAAAAGTCATTAACTTGGGGATAGGAAGATGAAGTGGGGAGAGGTTTTAAAGAGAGTTGAGGGGATATGAAACAGTAACTGTGGTGGGTGGAGAATCCCTTTGAGGTATGTGACTATGACTCTAAGATCAGTCAACACATTTGTGGGGTTATCGCCTGTTGTTCCCAACTGCTCAAGTGTGGGTGCTATTCAGCATATGCAGACAACAGACAGACGCAATTTCCCCAGGGTTGGGGCTTTGCTAGGAGAGTAAGGATGTGGGCGGTGGGGAGAGGGAGACCAGGGGTGTTTGGAAGAGTATTACCACAATGACGGATCATGGCTATGAGGTGGGGCCATTGATTGTGAAGGGGTCAATGAAACACTGCTGGAGCTGGGTGAGCTGAGCAGACAGGACATGTCTAAAGAAAAATAATCTTCATTGTCTCCAGTGATCAGAGAAATGCAAGATAAAACTTTCTTTCAGACTGGTAAAAATTAATAAAGTTGGATATTCATTTTTGTCCAGGGCTGGGAGCAGTGCTTTTCATCCCCGATGTACAGATATATAGTGATACAACCGTTTTGGGGGACAGTGTGTCAGCATGTTTCAAAAATTTTAAAGAGAATTCTCTTTGACACTCAGCCACTCCACTTCTGGGAATATTCTCTACAGTGACACTCAAACAAATACACAAGGATATATGTACAAAGATTTGCTGCAGCTTTAGTTGTTATAGTGAGAAACCGGAATCAACTCATTACCTAACAACAATAGAATGGTTGTGTGCATTCCGGGACATCCTCAGGAATTCTATGAAGTCAATGCAGAGAATGGAGAGTCATATGCTCACAATTTTATAAACATGCCATGTCATTCTTGCCTTCCACATTCTGCACATCCTGTTCCCTCTCTCCGCATTCTCCTTCCTCGTCTTCATTTTCACCTACAAGGACTCCTGAGGCCCAAACGTGGTGAAGCACCTGCTTGCTGAGTGCCTTGTGCTGACCCTCAGCATGTCAGGCTGTGTGGAAACTGGCCATGTATGTGCTGACACCTTGCAAGGGCTAAATCAATGTTTCTCAGATTCATTAACCCTATCATGGTGGTGGCAAGGGCTTTAGGTACTTATACTTGCTGTACTGCTTGCTTGTTAAGCTGTGCAAGGCCTTTCATAAGGAAGTCTAAAGTAATGGACCCAGTAGAAACTGACCACAGCTTCAAGGGTAAACCCTGACGAGTTAGTCACCTCTAGCAATGGGTGCAGGAAAGGGGGGGGGCAGCAATTAAACATTCTGAGGGCTCTTATTCCATGCTTG